TCTCTCTCTCTCTCTCTCTCTCTCACACACACACACACACACACACACACACACACACACACACACACACACCCCTCTTCCTCTTTTCCTCTTAAAAATAGCACTGGTGGGAGGAAGGCATTAAAGCAGCTGCCTGGAATCCATTCACTGCCTCCCCTGGGGCTGTGGCAGGTTGACCTGGAGGAAGAGAAACCAAGGTATGAATGGAGCTTGTGGGAAGACATCTTGGACAGAGCCAGGGGCTGTCCATGGCAGTCTGCTCTTTGGCTGAGGTACTACCAATAGTAAAATGGGACCCGCAGGGAGGTGGGTCCCCCCCCCCCCGAGAACGGCACACAGGGATAAAAGGAAAATGCTACATGGCTTAGATGTTCCTGCTCTGTGACAAATCCCACAAGCCTCCCTTTGAGACTCACCTGCTAGTCTGGACTAGTGATGTGAGTTAATCCAGTGTGACCATCTCATCCATGATGTTGGTCCGTTTATCAAAAGCTACCCTATTAAGATTTTTGTTTTGTTCTCCTTAAATTCCAAGAGATGAGCCTTCAGCTTGCTAGAGGAACTGTCGTGCTGAGCCCATGCTGTGCTTTCTGTCCTCCCCCTATATCCAAGGAAGGGACTGCATCATTTGAATGAAGGTCGTGGCTTGGATTAGGTTTCTTTCTCCCTCGCCATTGTTCTTTTTCTATCCCTGTTCTTTCTCCCTTCCTCCCATTGGGGCCGGGGATTTAGCTCAGTGGTTCCACCGCCTGCCTCGCAAGCTAAGGACCAGAGTTCCATCCCCGGTACCAAAAACAACAACAACAACAACAAAAAAAAAACCCAAAAAACCTCCCATTGGACGCTTCAGCTGATGGATAAGTTAGGCTGCCCACACCTTGGGCCCACAGCCCCTTTGCTAAGGTGCTAAATGATACAATTTGAGCCACCCACGGTTCCTTCCTGGACCCGAGCTTACTACAGCTGGGCTGGAACACTGGTGCAAGCGCTTCCCCCCTCACACAATGAACGCACCGGAAAAGTAGCTCATGCAGTATAGATGGCACATCACATGTGTTTTGGTCATGTTGGATCTGTTTGCTTTGTTGTTTTCAGGGTGTGATGTTGTTACAAGGCTCTGCTAGACCTTTCCTGAGGGACCTTATTCTAAGCCCGCACTGACTTTCACAGATTGGGGGTACAGCATGAAGACACAGGAAAAGTGGACCTGGGAGAAGTTGATCTCTGCTGCAGCATAGCTTGGGGAGAGCAGCTTGCTCCTTGGCCACTGTGCGTGATGGGCACATTGATGTCCTGATAACGTATGGCCCTTGCCTGCCATATCTGTTCAGCTCTCTCACTGACATTTACAACTTTTGCTCCCCAAAGTGACAACAGTTTGCAACAAAAGGCTGATCGATATCTGCACGTGGTGCCCAAGCACTGACTCAGTATAGGGGGGACATTCTGTCATCACAGAAGGTGTCTTTTTGAAGCCAGAGAGTTTGGCAAGTCTTTGGTGTGTACCCACGACCCTGGTTTACTGCAGTATGCTAATGAGGATGACTGGTGCACACTCTCAAGTTTGCTCTGTCCGTTTTCTTTTTCTTTTCCTGTTTTGTATTTGCCGGGAAGACCTTTTCATTGTGATTCTCTAGGGGGCTGCCTTTCCATTATGCACACAATTTTCAGCTAGCTCGTATAATTAGCCTGTACTGGTATTCTGTACAGCAAAGGTCTGGAGAGAGCAGGCACGAATTGCCCATTGTTAGGAGAGTGCTATTTTGCACACAGGAGACTAATTTCTTCGGTTGTATTGTCTATTGTCAGGAATCGTGGGTTCTACAGCTAGTGCTATTATTGACTTACAGGGGACAATTGGGAAAGCCATTCAGTGCACGGTGATAAAAAAAAAGTAATTTTATTTTCTTGGAAATAATTATTTAGCCGTATTTTCGTCACAGTCTGTTAAAGACTTAGAATTTTCTCTTTCTTCAGCCAATTTGTCCCTTTCAGGTTGCTAAAATAGAATTTAGGAAGACAAAGTTATAGAGGGAAGAAAATAGCACTCTTTCTCCACTAGTCATAACTATATTTTTGAATAAAAGAAAATTAAGCAGTCGCCATTAGGACAACCAGTGAGATAAGGTATTATGTGTCATAATTCTTTATTCTCTATTTAAGAACCTGAGCTCCAAGAAGGTGGGGCAGAGTCTTGGTCACAGTTCCATCCAGGTGCCTGTCGGTCCTGAGGATGAATTAATTGCTTAGGAAATACCTGTTGAATAAATAAATGAATAAATGAATGTGTGGATGGATGGATGGATGGATGAATTTCTTGGGGCTTCAGAACATTTTCTATGCCATCTCTTATTCCTAGATGTTAAAAAATTATCTGTAATATCATCAACTATACCACTTAAGATCCAAATTATAGCCCTTCTTGAGCATTCTCTGGCTTTGGGTGCTTCTCTTCCGTTCTTCCAATAATCCAGGGTCCCCTAAAATGTAGTTACATTAATTTGTATTTGGTCAGAGAAGATGAACTACTCTAACAAAATCTCTCAAAACTCAGTGTCTTAACACAAAACTTTATCCTCTCTGCTACAGTGTTTGATATTTCATCTGGATCAGGCAGCTGTGTCTGGTAGCGCTTCCTAGGGTGCTGACTCAGCAGTTCTGTCTCCTTCCTTCTTATCTTCAACAGGTGATGCCCCAGCTGGCTTGCTGCTAAAAGGGAAAATAAGTGAAAGCCTATCTTCCACACAGCCAGGAGAGGAGTCGAATTACCAGTCCTTCCCCTCAGATTCCCTTGGCTGGGTCTGGTGACTGGTGTTGGCCCGCAGAGTGGGAGCAGAGGTGATGTAGGGTTGGTGTAGGGGACTAGGGCCTGGCTAAGTAGCTGCTCTGCTCGCAGCAACTGCTTTATGCTATGGAAAGGGAGCACCCAGCCCGTAGTGGGCAGCTAGACATCTCTGCCATGTGTATAAGAGCTCTCCTGTTCCGATAGTCCTCTGACTACAGGCCCCTAAGGTGTCTCTTAATGTGGGAAGAAACATTCTTTTTAAACAGTAGCAAATGTAACACCTTCAAGCCCTTGAACAGTTTAAATAGTGTCCCCTTTGAAAGGATTTCTCTGGAACAGAGTATCAACTACTATAATTTGCTGCAAAATCATTAAGGCAGGGAAAGCTCACTTGTTTCTATATAGCTTTTGGGGGTAACATACAAATATGCAGAATTAAGATTGAGATCATCTGCTTTGCATCACTGCGGTGTGGCTTGAGCCATACTCTACCTGAGGAGTAAACATACTCGATGAGCTATTTGAGGCAGTCGTATTTGACAATTATGGAGAACACTAGAATTTTCTGGAAAATAGCTTTTTCACAAGGTAGCATAAAGATGCTAGCTGAATGTGCCCTTTTGCAGGTAACACCCAAAGAAAGTTAAAGTCTGGCCCTAAATGTTCTACATTCTCTCTTATCCCAGAGAGAACAACATAACCTGAATTGCTGCATGAAAGGAGGAGGCGTAAATTATGGCAGATCAAACTTCAAAAAGCCAGAGTGTGAGCAAATCACTTGACAGCCTGCTAACAAGGCAGGCATTCCTAAATTTCAGGATATCTGCCAGAAAGAAAGATTTTTGGTCGTATGTAAGATCTTTTGGCCTAGAATAATGGAGGACTTGTTTCTGTTCAGCTGTAAATCCGTGGCTCCTCAATTGCTTCCTAAAGTGATACATACCATAGTGTCTGTCTGCTCACCTCTGCCCTTTCAATTTGCCTTTTCTTTTTAAGAGTACTAAAATACAGCCCTCTTCCCTTTCCTGGTGGAGAGGAGTAGGCTGAAAAATAAGAAGTTAACACCAAACAGCGTATCTACCAAGATCGTCCATTCTTAGTGTCTTAAATTTCTCTTAGTAGCTTGTTTATTGACATGAAATTTTAAGTCGGGAGCCCTATGAGCGAGCACTGCTGCATCCCTGCTGCATGTA